GGAAATGTCCCAACAGAAATAATTTCCAAACCGATAAAGGTTCCCTATTTTCAAAAAACACTTTGACCCATGTGGGGATCGAACCCATGACGTTGGCATTATTAGCACCATGCTCTAACCAGCTGAGCTAACAGGCCCCAATGTGTAGCATTTAGGCTAATAGAAATTTTTTTTTGTCATCCAATTTAACCCGAAGATTTTAAACATTTCCCTAATTTAAGGAAAAACAGCCGTAACGGCCAAGGAAATTTAAATCAAAGCGAGAAACTCTAGTAGGAAGAAGTTATCCCAAAGGTTTCACTCAGAAGACAAAAAGTTTCCTTAAGATTCTAATAGAACTGAAAAATAAACATTTTCAACATTCTAAAAGAAATTGGTACTGAAATTACTTTGCCGAAACCCAGGATTGAACCAGGGACCTTTAGATCTTCAGTCTAACGCTCTCCCAACTGAGCTATTTCAGCCATATTTAAGTTGATTTTCTTGCTTGAAAATAGTTACATGTGGAAATGTCCCAACAGAAATAATTAACAAAATGATAAAGGTTCCCTAATTTCAAAAAATATTTTGGCCCATGTGGGGATGGAACCCACGACCTTGGCGTTATTAGCACCACGCTCTAACCAGCTGAGCTAACAGGCCCCAATGTGTAGCATTTAGGCTAATAGAATTTTTTTTTTATGTCATCCAATTTAACCCGAAGATTTTAAACATTTCCCCAATTTAAGGAAAAACAGCCGTAACGGCCAAGGAAATTTAAATCAAAGCGAGAAACTCTAGTAGGAAGAAGTTATCCCAAAGGTTTCACAAAAAAAAAAAAAAGTTTCCTTAAGATTCTAATAGAACTGAAAAATAAACATTTTCAACATTCTAAAGAAATTGGATACTTAAATTACTTTGCCGAAACCCGGGATTGAACCAGGGACCTTTAGATCTTCAGTCTAACGCTCTCCCAACTGAGCTATTTCCACCATATTTAAGTTGATTTTCTTGCCTGAAAATAGTTACATGTGGAAATGTCCCAACAGAAATAATTAACAAAACGATAAAGGTTCCCTATTTTCAAAAAACACTTTGGCCCATGTGGGGATCGAACCCACGACTTCAGCGTCATTAGCATTACACTTTAACCAGCTGAGCTAACAGGCCCAATGTGTAACAATTAGGATTTTAGAATTTATTTTTTTTTGTCATCCAATTTACCCGAAGAATTTAAACATTTCCCTAATTTAAGGAAAAACTGCCGTGACGGCCAAGGAAATTTAAATCAAAGCGAGAAACTCTAGTAGGAAGAAGTTATCCCAAAGGTTTCACTCAGAAGACAAAAAGTTTCCTTAAGATTCTAATAGAACTGAAAAATAAACATTTTCAACATTCTAAAAGAAATT